GTGTAAAGGTACGAACAAAGAACCTAAGTGATGTCACCTCCAGCAGCTACTCAACTTGCATCTCTAGAAGTACTTCCTTTATGAAGGAACAGTGCATGAAAAGAGCCAGAGTACCCCGATGAAATCGCCGCTGTCTCAGGATTAGATGCTACTGTTCGCAACCCGGCGACCAACGATTTGGGCGTGTTATCGAGATATTGCCTTTCATCTTCCTGAATTCGATTTACCCTGACATCCAATTCACAACAAACATCACCTACTGCTATTGAACTAGCCCTCAAGACGACTGAAAATATTGCAATCAGCACACGCCAGAGACTAAGTTAACACAGTAAACGCCTGCTATGCCGCAGGAGCGGCCCTGAGCGAAGCCTCTGCGAGACGTTGGACACAGATCGGCGGCAACGATACGAAGTCTGACTCGGGAACCTAATTTTCCCACCGCACAGCAGGAAACAGCGAGCGCCGCCCGTTGTGTCCACTGCAGTTACTGCATGGTGCACTGCCTTGGGGGAGCCGATAAGTACTTATAAATCCTTTTAAACGAACACAAAGAAAACATGCCGATTGGTCAACTCTTGTTGGTGGTGGGACAATACAACTTCTGTGCACTTTCCTGAGGAAAACTCGGGCTCGATACACCAGAATAACTCTCATCAACCGTTAAGTGGACTTTCCTCCGGCCGGACGCAGTCGCAGCTAAACTCACACAGGTTGTCGTGAACGCAAGTGACAGAGATCGAAGACCTGCTATAAACAGAGGCGCGTGCACAGTCATAGCAACGACTGACCACACAAGTGCGAGCGTTTGCAAATGACGGACAAGGACGCGATGCGCGAGATTGAGACACATAGCGGATAATGCAAGTGAAAGCAGCCGCCGTTTGCAGCTAAACGCAGTCCCCGAATAGGCATGGGAAAGAAGTAGAGTCACCATTTGATACTTACCGTTGATAAGACTTTCCACGAATTTAATTTGCTAAGTTTCCGAAGCTGGGATAGGCTACCTAAGGCTATATTTGGCACTCAGCAGTGGAGCTAACTGGTTTTCCACCATTCTCGTTTCAACTTTAAATCAGAAATTGTTAGGTCCTGTCTACTTATCCCTATTTAATTTGATCGAAACTTTATTTTCCAACGCCCCCTCCCCTGGAATCCGAAAGTTCTCGGTAATTAAAAGTTCATCATCCAACGACGAGCCTTTTAAAACAGTTCGAAAACTCACGACAAAGTGTCCAATTTTAGACGAGCTTCATCTTTTCATAACATCATTCAAGGATGCCCGTCATTCTAGCATTTCAAACTCTCATTCACTCAACATTCCTTAAAATGTAATTAATAGTTTTAGTGAACAACTTAAGGGGTTTACTAATATATGTAAGTGCCCTTTATAGTGTATATGCTTTTAAACAGGTGGGTACTCCTGCACAAACTTGCGTTAACGCCTTGCGCCGGAAAAACGATTGAGCTGTGTTATGTCTAATATTCGCTACCTAAGTACAGATGCCTTACCATTTTATTTCCTCCGCTGGCGGAGAGCTGCAGGCCGTCTACATAGCTTCCACGATTACCTCTGCGTATGCATATCCGTGGGGAGCCTTTTTCAAATCTCAATTCACTTCGGTTAACATCTGACGCATTAACATGAGTGCATAAAAGGCAACATAAGTACCATTTATTGCTGTGTTGCATTTAAATGTTTACGGCGTGTTGCTTCCTTCTCCGCCAGAGGCATGCTGGGCAACTAACAATGGTTTTCGCTTTTTTGGAAACCCTGAAACTGATGCCCCCTGTACGCCATTTACGTCACGCTGGATCGATTAGCCAAGTAAATATTACAAAGTTACTGTTACAATCCCTGTTATGGCCTTTGTATGCTGGCTGCTT